ATACCTGATCTCTTCAAACCTACAACTGAATCGACCGAGATCACAGAATCTCTAGAGAAAATTGAAGTGCGCAGAAATCGAGATACAGAGGACGAAACATCAACTTCAACTCAGTCACCTGAGGCTGAAGTTTCAACTACATCAGCTACACATGAAGAGACCGTAGCGCCCACTACTACATCCCTTTGGTCTTCAATAGAGGAATGTGCAACATCCATTACTGCGTCGTCTTGGTCTCCAGTAGAAGAGGATGCAAAGTCCACCACTGTATCGCCTAAGGTTCACGAAGAAGGTGTAACCGTTACACAAGAAAGTGAGGCAACGTCAACCACTGCTTTGCCTGTGAACCCAAAAACTTTGGAAACTTTTGACCTATCAATACCTGATCTCATTAAGAAGCAATGGGATTGGTGGTTGAGGTGGTCAGAAAACTGTATGACGGATTTTATGGAAATGTGGTATGCTTGGAACAGTGAAATGGGATATCAATGAAATCTAGTGCATAGATGATTTTTTTCCGTGAAAAACTGCAATCACATTATTTGAAAAAAAGTGTGTGGACTTAATGTTAATCGTGTATCATACCGAGCAGACGGATCGTGTTTTACATTATCTGAGATTTGTGCTCATGATTTTTTTAGCTATATCATGAATGACAAACAATGCAGTATACAAGCTGTATTTGAAGGCAGAGTAGAGTAAGTGTAAACTCACATTAATAGTGTGTGTATGGTGAAAATTTTCCAGAATAATTTCTAGTTTGTAGTATTTCGCATATGCAGTTCTCACGTCCAGACTAATAATTTAATGAAGATAATCCTTTATCAAACTTACTATACAGACAGTATTTCTGTTCTCTCTTTCAAAGCTCGTTACAAATATCTAGGGAATCTAGTCAGGATCTACGTAGCATAAAAACCTCAAAAGAAATCAAAAGTTTTTGTGAATCAAGAATCAGAATGCTCATTTACTTTAATTAATTAATTAATTTATTTATTTATTAATAGTCTGATTCTTGATTCACAGAAAAGAAAGTAACATAGAGCGATATTTTTTTTCAAAAATTTCATGGACAAAATAACCGAAAAATAAGAAATCCGATGGCATAGAGCGGTATTTTTAAAAACAAAAAAAAGCAGTTGTAGCGAATGCGAAAAAAGGACATGAGAAATTCACATTGTAACACTAGGCATATAATATATAAACAACTTACAAAGCAGTAATTTACTTTCAAATATCACAGTTTTTTAATTCTATCGATCTGAATTCTTTCCGCCATCCGAACCGATAGAAATTTTTAAATTTACCAAGTAATGAAAAAAATTAACAACTGTCATAGTTCTCGTTCTGTTTTTTCTTTTATTATTTTTATAGACTTCAATTTTATTTGAAAAAATATATCAACAAGTCTGACGGTCTTAGAGAAGAAAAAACATGGATGCAGGACGTTTCCATTGAGTTTAGACTAATTTATGGGTAAAAATAAGGATTGCTATATTAATTATTTGCATTTTAATTGTTTCATCGTTCTCATTTATCATTTCTGCAGTTGCCTCATATTAATGTTTTGTTCACATGGGATTAGCTGAGCAAGCAATTCCTTACATTAAAAACATTATTATCAAGGATGGCAAAAAAAAATTAACTCTTCTGATCAATATTTGAAGCAATTTACTAACTTCCTAGAAAACAGAAGTTTGATTAATACTTTGTTTTAAAAAACAACCTAATACAAATTTGTGCGAAATTTGAGTGATTTGAATTTGTTAAAATAGTGATCTTGAAACAACATGAAAGCAATTGCACTCAGTCACTTTTTCAATAACGGTGTTTACAAATGCTGAGTCATTCCTTATTTTTGTTAATATTAAAATATAATAATATTTTGTTCAAATCATGCAAATTTTCATTTCATTATAATGTATGTAATTCTAGCTCACCAAAAATATGCTCATCATTTGTAAACACCGTTTCATCTGCGGTCACTTACACTGATACTAACAACTGCTCAATTTAATTATGGGTGATCGTGTTTTGTAAATTGCTAAGAAATTCTTGTTTATTTTTAATCATAATATACAATTGTTTAGAAATTTTCTCAAAACTGCAGCAATTACAATCTGATCAAACTGAGCGATTATAGGAAATTTGTGTCCTCTAATATACATAACTGTGAATATACTTTGCATTTATGGGATTGTATCTGTTTTCGCCTCGGTAAGCAACAATATAATTGTCTACACTAGCAAAAATACAAGACATCTCAATTATTGAGTAATAAAAGTATATCACAAATGCAATCATCTTCACGATTTTTCAATCTGCATAGGCTAGTTATGTAATGCCGAAAACTGTGGATGCGGAAACGCAAAAAATCTATGAATTGCATCAGTTACAAAATTCAAAATACTACAGAGTACTGTGGCAATTGATCTGTATGTTTTATTTGTATTCAAAAAAGTCGTAATTCAATTTAATAAAGTGACTGAATCAATAATGCATTATTTTTGGATTTCTTTTGGCAAGTTCGCACAAAACTTACAGTAATAGTGTATGTATGGTCAAAAAATTTCTGGGATATTTTTTAGTTTGTAGTATTTCGCATATAATAATTTAATAAAGATAATCTCACGACCAGACTAATAATTTAATAAAGATAATCTTTTATCAAACATATTATGCAATATTTCCGTATTCTCTTTCATAGCTCGTTACAAATATCTAGGGAATTTGGTCAGGATCTACGTAGCATAAAAAGTTCAAAAGAAATCAAAAATTTTTGTGAATCATGAATCAGAATACTCATTTACTTTAATTAATTAATTTATTAATTTATCCATAATCTGATCCTTGATTCACAGAAAAGAAAGTAACATAGAGCTGTATTTTTTTCAAAAACTTCATGGACATAGTAAGCGAACAGTAGAAAATTCGGATGTTATTAACAGCAGTTATAGTGAATGCGACAAAAGGACGTGGGAAACGGCAAATTGAAGACCCATCATTTTTGGAAGCAAATCGAATATTCACAAAACTTGATAACACTGCTGCTAGTATGATAACGACTGAGGCAATTTATGAACTGAACAATATGAATGTGTTTGTCATTTTTTTTTGTCAGTTAAAGTGCTTCTGAAGCTGCTGTCTAATTTTCAATCAGAACTAAAAAAAATATTGCCTTAAAGGTTTTAAATATGATTCTCAAAATCTTCAATATTCTGAATACCAAAAAAACAGGCAATAAGTGCCATTTTATTCAGAATAATGATGATGGTCATGCAAATGAAGTTTAAACAGTTTGCTGTCGCCATGAAAAACTACTAGTTGCTCAATTCGAAACTTCCTTATGTTTTAGCATCTTTTCTTTCATTTAAAACCTGTGATCATTTTTAGTAACGTTGCCACCAAGTTAGCATGCTTGAGATACGTTGCTGATACCATTCATATTATCAATGACCACATCGATAATGGGAGCATGTTTGTTCAATTTGTTAAATTTATGCAAACTAGCACGCTGTAGCATTCGCTGTTTGAAAGGACTATCCTTATAATGAATAAGAAAATATGAATGATTATTTCCAGAATATGGATTTTTATGCTGATTATTTATTGGATGCTTATGCCTGTATTCATTTGGGTTGCAATTATTTTATTTATGTGGAAAAATCTTCGGTCACATTGGAGCAAAATTATTGTTCCTATGGCAGTAGCAGTAAGAATTCTCTAGCCACTCTTGAAAAAAATTATAAATATTGAAGATTCTAGAGGAACTAAAACACATTGTGTAAACAAGTGATTTTTGAACATTTGATATACATTATGTAAAATTTTAGAAACATTGTGAGGCAAGTGGCAATTTGCTGAATGATAGAAATGAAATTGTTACAATGCCTGCATGGGATGGTTTGTTAAATTTTATTGCTTCAATGAAAGAAATAATTTCTAGCAATATATAGTCAGTAATTAATACTCATGTTTTAAATTCATGCTCATGCATGTACATAATAAGCTGAAGAATGAAGTCAGTTTGGGGCACAACAAATTACAAACTCATGATAATATATCAGTGAAACTTGCAATGCATCCAATAAGAATTTGAACTGAGGTGGTAATAACATCAATTACAATATAAACAAAGAACACAAAAAAATTCCGCATACTCCACGTCATTACATGCTTATGCTTCTTTGTTACGGGGTGATTACAGTGCACATGAAATAAGTACAACAAATTGAGTATATTTTTTTACAAAAATATGCTCAATTAATTGTCAAAATGTATATTTCATGAGTATATAAAAAATTAGGGTCATGTATTACGTTTCTTCCTAGAGGACTTCAAAGTTCAACTAGACAAAAAAAAACGAGGTTGAATATTCCAGGAGTTTTGGAAGCTCGTTTTGAGCAGACTACTCAATCAGAACATGACCAGATTGTATGGCCAGAAGACGAAATGATTGAAGAAGAAGAAGAAAGAGACAGAAATGAAAAAGCAGAACAAAAAGATGGCAAAAAAACGAAGAAGAATGAAAAAAAGAACATAGAAAAGGAGAAAGATACAAATAAGGGGAAAGGCAAAAAGAAGGGAGCAAAAACAAAAAAATGTATCTTCTTAAAGTTAAAAGCTTTTTTCGGCTCCATAAAATTGAAGCTTCATTTCAAAATCATTCTCTTTCTATGATTAGTCATACGTTTTTTCTTCAGGATAACAATGCTGGTAATGGGTAATGAATCGTCAATGCATTCATTATTAGTGGTGAAATTGATGAATGTTTTATTCTGACTTATAATAAGCATTGCAGTGTCAAAAATCTTTTTTTCATTTAATAAACTATTCTGGAACACAATGAGGTGATCCCATTACATACATTGATTGCTAAACGATGACACGTTGTTTATCCATTGTGCATTTACGTAAAATCCAATTCATTTCAAAAAATTTAAATCAACTTTTTTGTTGCTATTTGATTCTTTTACATCAAACTTTTAATCCTTTTGATTTTTTTATACACTTTCAAAAGACTCTTTCTGAAGAGGCTTTCTCTCTTTTTTAATTACTAAATGCATTTTATACATCCAAATGATACGTCAATAACTGCTGAATTTGAATTTTATCACTGCAAAAAAATTTGCTAAAGATAAATGATTCACAGTACAGATAGATAGATGGTTTTAGAGAGAATCCAATGATTTACTTTCTTCATATTTCCGCAGTAAACTGAGAAAAAATTTAAACGACAATCCAGAAACAGAACATTTATCAATTGATGACAAAGAGACAACACAAGCAGCACCTATAGTGACTACAAAATACTATTATGAACAAATACTTCAAAATGTTTGCAGCACTTGATTTATGAAAATTAAATTTGAATGTCAACATTTATAGCCAACAAATTAAATTCATTGCATAGACTGAAGCTAAAAAATACTGTAGTAATTTTGTACAAATTGCCCGACTAAATTTAATTTCCATGACAGCAGAGTCAGAGCAAAAACACATAAGCTAATAATCGTTATGCTGACCGCATAAATAAGATGTGAAGGTTAATTTTAATTTCGCCTCATTACTGCAGTATTTACATCTAATTTTGAACATCATTATTTCAGCAGTTCGAAGATTAGTAAATGCTTTAGATATTCAGAACCTGAAAATGGGATCAAATTTACAATGATACTATGATCACAATATTAAATGATTTTCATGACTGTTCCTAGCGCTTTAAACATGACCTACCTTCAACATCATATAAATGAACGAAAATATCACACGGATTGCAAAGCAGCTTTTATATTATGCAATGCAGGTTGATCAACTCATTACAACATACTAGCGAAAACGTTACAAAGACACATATCAGGTTTTCTGAAGTACGATGGCACATATGACCACAATTATTACTATATTATATGATAGCAAATTAAATCAGTGTGCTCATGAATACACTAACAATCTTTCACATTCAAGTCTCTGAGCATTAATGCATCAAATATTTGTTTTGAATAGCGAAATAAAGTACTCTGGCGCCAATCAAAATATTATCCTATAATTTTTTAAATAGATCAAACATAAGATTACTGGTTGTTAGATACCGTGGTGTATATACTACGTATGTCATTAAAGAAAAAACATGAATATTTTTTTCTGATACTTTTGCGCAATTTAGCAGCATTTTTTGGCTTTCGTCCGACTGACTAGAAGAATGAATTTTTTTTGTGATTTATAACGTCTGTATTCTTGAAAGAGCAAAGCTTTCTGTGCTTCTGTAATTTCTTCGTAAACGTCAAATACGATAGACAGCTCATGACTTTACAGAATAAAATTTGTAGCTTCGTGACATTAGCACTTCTTCCTACATATTTCAATTGAATTCAATGTGTCATTTGAAAAATACAAAAGGAACATAAATGTCTCAGAAATCTCTTTTTCCAAGCACTCATTTGAAAAGGCGGAGCGCTTGACGAGAATCTCAATCTGCCTTCTCCGAGTATTGGAATGTGTTCCTGTATTCAATTAACACTTGCTA